AATACTGTTTGAAGCAAGTACCTCTAAAATGATATTAAAATCGTTTAAACAAGCGAAAACTGCATTAAAAATGACGTAAAAAGGTAGAAAATGACTTATTAGTCAAAATCGACGAAAAATGCAAAAAAATAAATATAAGAATGGGCTATTTCTTTTTGACATGACAAAATGAATTTTTGTTATAAAAGGCACTGTTCAAAAGTGAAAATAAAAAATGACATTTCATTAAAATCCGTCTCCAAATCATAATAGAGGCTTTGTAAGTGCTTCAAGAAGTATTGCGAAGAAAAATATGCAAGACACACGGAATAATACAGACACTTGACACCCAATAGCACTGAACTTCTGATGCTACTTAACATGAAATGTGAAAGAAAAAAGTTCAAAGAAATCGTGGAAACATAAACCACACCAAGGGCAATATCTGCAAAGAATCGACAATGTGCATATCAGTAAAGATCAATCATTTATGTGGTTTAAAATGGGAAGAATGAATTCAGAATCGGAAGAAGTTTTTAGTACGAGTAGCTACCCAAGATCAAGCGTTGAGAACATGACATTATGATAAAACGGTTCTCAAAATTTCCCAAGATGATAAATGTCGCATCTGCAAGGAAGAAGTAGAAACCATTGATCATATTGTCACAGCTTTTCCAATTCTAGCAAAGACTAAATATCTGAAAAGACACAACAGTGTGTGTAGTTACCTCCATTGGCAGATCTGTACTTCCCTCGAAGTTCTAAACACATGCTTCAAGTAGTAAGAACACTCAGCACAACCGGTGTCACCTTTTGGACTGTGTAAGTTTCGTACTACCAACAAATTTAAACTGATATTGTTATCCAGGACTTGGACAAAAAGCTCTCTACTTGTAGATAGAGAATCATCTAAAATACCAGATTTTGTAAATCAAGATCAGTCGAATGTGCGGTGTAAAAGCGCAGGCCGTCTTGGTAGTTATCTGGGATTTATTCTGCAAAATTTGTGTAAGAATTTGGCTAAACTTCCAGGTCATTCAAAAGACTGGGAAGTGCAATATATTGCTTTATTTTGATCAGCTCACATTTTGTGCAAAGAATTATAGAGGCACCGCCAGTCTCTAGGTTTGCTCCTTATGAAGCTGGTTGCAACCTGGAGTAGATTTACTGTTATATTCAATCAACTCATAACATCTTTAAAAGTAGGAGTAATAATAATAATAACAATAATAATAATAAATAACAATAATAATAAATAACATTTTGAATTAGAACTACTGATATGAAATGAACATTTATCTATACTTCTGTTATTTGAAGTATTCTGTGCACGATTCTGAAACGTAAGCGTAGACTTCGTTTCACATCATCACATCAGTGGATGACTTGACTTCAGTGTCCCTTGAAACTCTCTCCTGAACTCAGTGCCTACACAGTGTGTGATCTCACGTGAGCACTTCGCAACTGTTTATTACAGACATTTGTAATAAAATTTGAATAATTACAATTTAAGCCTTAATCGGTTAATATTGATCGTGCTTTCCTACCAGACAAATTTAGAGGTGTCTTAGAATAAATGTTTCAAGCTTTCAGGATATGCATGGGTCAAAAGTGATCACTTTTTGCAATGAATGTGTAACGTAGTTACACGCATTTATACAGAAGACATTTGTCCCTGATTTTAAGGGAACCCGCATTCACAGATTTTCGGCAGGTACATGAAATCACCTTGAATCCGTCATACTTCACAATATCTGCCCCTAATGCGTTGCCTTGGTCAGAGGTAAATGTCACATGCATAAAAGCATCTATCTCCGTAGATTAAATTTCCCACTATATGTTTATTAGCAAGAATGTGACCATTTTTACCTCTCTACTTGTCCTAAAAGTTTGTAATGTTTATTCTGTGACATACTGTATAATCATATTATTATTATTATTATTATTATTATTATTATTATTATTATTATTATTGCAATATTAATAACAAATCATCGATTCGCCGGCGCTGAAGAGTGTTAGTAATGACGGCATGTAGTTGTTATTTCTAAGGAAATCTACTTGCATTGATCAGCAGCTAGGTCGATAAATCCTCATTCACTTTCTTGCCTACTGTTACTAGAGTGCTGTGTTTTTAGTTAAGTAATTAAGTGATTTAATCGCATTTTTCATCTAAACAAAATGCAAACGCAAACAATCCAAAGACGATGGCTAATCTTAGATAATTTTTAGACAGACTAGAAACACTTTCAGAGTGCTGATTCTACAGACATTCAAATTCCAATTCTTCTATTATGTTCCGAATGACAAATCATCAATTCCAAAAAAAAATTCATGATATAGTGATCTGAACTGCGCCAAGATGTGTCTCTAATATTTCATCCGATTCAATTAAAATTTATATTTAATATAAAATAATATAAATATTGACTATTTTTCACGAAATTTCAATTTTCAGAAATGTACACATTTTTACGTAAAATATGTGTACAACTTAGTGTAAAGACGATTTTGTAGAGGGATACGTGTCCATTGATAAAAGGAACATCGTTAGAAAATTGTCGGACAAAGTCCTATTATTTTAATTATGATCCAATTCACAAAATAGTTTACTAATTTGCTCGTGTGAATTCGAAATGCTGATGCGTTGAAAGTCAATATTTGCTGTAAACGTATTGTATTGATTCCTAAACTCGCCATTTCAAGCGCTCGAAAATGTCATTTTGCGTTGACAGATAACATTACAGAATAACATTCAGATTTTGCTTAGTCAGATATCATTAGGGATATTACAGAGAATATACGTTGTTGTTCTCATTAAGGTGTATATACAGAACGTACACTAACCTAGTGGCGCTACACTAGCACTACGTTTTACATTATTTCTAACTTTTGCAATTTTCAAAATCTGAGGGCGTTTAATGAAAACGAGATCGATATTATTTTAAAGGTTTGGTTTCATTGTTTTGTATATGGAAAAAATATTTTTAAAAAATTGGAGCTGTGTTTGGGAAAATATTTTTTATATTTGCATTAGTTCGTGCAGATATTTCTTGAAAACTACTCCAACGAAAAATTAACATGATATATTTTAAAGATCAAAAAGTTGTACATGATATATTTTAAAGATCTTATTTTTTAATTTATATTCTTTAAAACAAAAAACTGACTTTCAAACTTCTAGCTTTGCCATGTTAACGTTTTGTAGTTTTCGAAAATGGAAGGAATGGTACGCTTGAAATGGAAAAATATCACTTTTTTCCACCCTTTTATTCGCACAAGGATAATATTATTTGGGAAGCTTTATTGAGAAAACTGTTTAAAAATTGCCTAAATTGCACGTCATGCAGGAAAACTTGTAAATTATCTTATTTCAAGATCTGACTTTCAACAGCATTTCATTAAAATCACTATGTTTAATGTTGTTGAAGGAAGACGCCGAAAAGAATTTGAACCCCGCAATTTTCGACAAATAAGGAGTTCCAATGAAAGCGAGACTAGTGCCATTCTTTTAACAGTTTACCCCTATCCGAGATCAATGTTTAATAAAAAAATTGAGGCATGTTTGAAAAAATGTTGAAAATTTAATTAAAGTTTTATGTAAATACACCGTAAAATTGAATAATCCATTTCAAAATCTCAGGGCCTTGATTTCATGTAAATTGTCGAGGGAATATCAATTTTGGAGAAAATCGGCGGAACGGTTTAGGGGCTAGCATTGACCAGAGACCGTCGGTCACAGCTGTATTGCAGTCAATAGATTTTTCCCTATCAAGATCTCAAAAAATTTGAATTCTGACTACGCAACTATTAGAGTAAAATTTTTGCTATGTTTAGGAACAAGGTTTATCTAATTCTGAAGGATCGGCAATAAGAGTTTTACTGTCTAAAATTCGCAGTTTTCGGTCGCACGATTATAATACATTTTCTTCTTACGAAGGAAGACGGAGAAAGTAAAAAAATAATCACCTTGTTTTCAGAATGCAATTTGAAATCATGAATTATAAATGTTCGATATTTTTAAGAATTAAGGTTCAAATGAGAATGCTTCTGTTACAACGTCTCATAAACCATTACTATTACAAACAAATTTGAGCAGAATTGAAGATAATTATTTGTTTCTTTTGGCGTACCGTATTGAAGACAGTTATTTGTCTCGTTTCTCGTTCGTCTTTGAATAATCATGAGTGAGAAATGTAAATCCACATTTCTGTAAGTACAATTCTAAAGACAAGGATCTATTGAACTCAAAATTCCGATTTGCTTTTGGATTTTTCTAAAATAGATACTACGATTTTGTTCCACTGAGCTCATCGGAACTTTCAACTTAGGATCACATCGAAGTTATATCTACAGGAAATCTGTGGCCGTTATGTCGGAGAAACAGATAAAATTTTTATTATTAATTAAAATTGTAGATTCATTCTTCTAATAGTATTCATATCTCTTAGTAAATATTACTTGAAAAAAAGTCACAATAAGTGCTCTACTATTATTTTTAATGTTATTAGAATGTAGAAGAACACAAATATAATAAAAGTAATAAACATAGTAGTTGTTATTAAATCTGTATTTAATATTATTATAATAATAAATCAGTCAAAGGGGAAGTAAGTGCTCAACAGAAAGTCTGGAATTATCTAGGAACACTGAATGAAATAGGCAAGGTCACTTCAAACGGCAACTGTAAAACTGTGAGGCAGGTCGGGCATTGAAAGATGGTATGAAATCCAATGTCCAAAAGTTAGCTATAACATTATAATAATGAAAAATGCGAAAAGTCAGCGGTAAGAGGTGATGGGTAAAAATCAATATGGCCGCCTTGGAAACAGGTTGCCCATTAATTTCAGAACGAACGATCATTCTCGTAACTGAATCTTCAGCTGACGTTCCGTTTACGTTTTTAATTTTGTCGTACTGTTATTAAACTATTACTTCGAATTCATACTTGATAAAATATTCATTGCCAGTACAACGTGAAAAATATGAGGATTTTAGACGTAATCCAGAGTTGTTATTCTTCACAAAAGGAACACTTTAATACAATTGCTTCCAAGGACTCCGTGCATGCAGAGGTGGGGGAGAGCGCAGCGCCCCTCACCGTTCATGTTTAGCTCCGTGGCGGCCTTGCCGCTGGGCGGTGCGTAGCCCGACCCCGAGGACGACTGCCGGCTGCCGGGCTGGTAGGCCGTCAGCGGCACCGGCAGGTCGAACTCGGTGCTGGGCCGGTGGTAGTGGTGGCTGTGGTGGTTGTGGTGGCTGGTGTGGTGCTGGTGGATGCTGTTGAGGAGGATGTTGCTGGACGTCCGCGACAGAGCTCTTCTCTGGCGAACGGCTTCTTTGTAGATGCGACAGTACATCGTCACCATCACCACACCGGGGATCCAGAACGACACCGACGACGAGATGATGCAGTAGTACTTGTTCACCACGAAGATGCACACGTCCGGGTGCTCCGCGCGGAAGTGCTGGTGCTCCTCGGTGGTGTACCAGCCGAGGAAGATGGGGGTGAAGGAGATGAGCGCGGGCAGCACCCACACGTTGGCCAGCATGAAGGACACGGTGCGGTGCGTCATGGTGATGGGGTACTCGAGCGGCCGCACGATGGCGTAGTAGCGGTCCACCGAGATGCAGCACAGGTGCAGGATGGAGGCGGTGGAGAAGTACACGTCCAGAGAGTTCCACACGTCGCACATGAAGTACCCGAAGAGCCACACGCCGCCCGTCAGCTCCACGCTCGCGTTGAACGTCATCGCGCACAGCGCCACCAGCAGGTCGGCGAACGCCAGCGACACCACGTAGTAGTTGGTGATGATGCGCAAGCTTCGCGGGGTGGGCGGCCGGAAACGCTGGGATGATTGAGAGCCGCGTTGCCTCAAGCAAGCGGCCCGATGATGGTGCCCGATGACGAGCCCTTGCACCGACGGGCCAGGTGGGCCACAGCACGGCCAGCTCGAGGGCGCTGCGAGTCGTTGGTGGCCCGCGCGGCGCGGAGGCGCGCGCGCGGCGCCCGCCGCCACCGGTCGAGCCACCGCGCCCACGGCGGCGCCCAGCCCGTGCGGCGCGGCGCGGCGCGGCGCCGGCGGCGGGCAGCGCCGCCCGGCCCCGCGCGCCCTGCGCCACGCCGACGCCTCGCGCCGCAGCGCGCCGCCGCGCGCCGCGCGCGTCCGCCCGCGCTGCCGCGGGGGCGCTCGCCGACGGGATCGCATGCGCTCAGATGCTCCTCTCTTCACTCGGGCAGGCGGCGTGCCGCAGGGGCCCGGCATGGCCCTCGAAGGCTCCTCCTGTGGCGCTTCACGCGAGGGGCTCCCGCGCTGGCGCGGCGCGGTCCGGCTGGCGGCTGGACGCGTGGCGGCGCGGGCGCCATGGCACGGCGGCGCGCAGCGTGCGGGCCTCCCGTGCGCCTCGCAAGCGCGGCCTCGTCACGAACTGCACGCCGCGCCCGAGTGCAACACGCCGACGCGTTTCGATATGCGGGCGGGCGGGCGGCGCGAAGAGCGGAATAGCGGCGGGCGCCGCGGGAGGGGTTGCGCGTCCGCGGGTCGCGTGCGTCGCGTCGGTCGCGTCGGAGGCTGCACTGCAACTTGGCGGCGGCGGCGGCGGGGGCGGGCGGCGGCGGGCGCGTCGGCGCGCTGCCCGAGCGCCCGGGAGGAGGTGCGCCGCCGGCGGTTCGAACGGCGGCCGCCGGCCGCGGCACTCCGGGCTGGCGGCGCAGCGGATTTCGGCCGCCCGGCCGGGCCCCGGCGGCCCTCGCGCGGAGGCGCTCTTCCACCGTTCTTCATCGGTGGTGACGCCGCGCACGGCAACTAGTAGGGTCGGTAGTCCCGAAATGGCCGTGCGAGGTGACGGTGGTCTTCTTAAGAAGAATATCCGTTTGGTAGGGTACTGCTCCGGCATTCGCCTGGTATTGATCGCACAAACCACGGAAAACTATCGATCAAAGGAGCCGGCCGCTAGAATTCAGACTGCGTCAGAAATCGACCTAGCTGACAAGCTATATGGTCTTCCCCCGCTGTACGACAGTATCCAGCGCCGACCTACCCCAACCAGGTATCTCCCACCAGCGGGGTACCGTCCCAGCCGGAACAAGCTAAGCGCTCCCGACCGGTCTCCCGACATGTGTGGTAGTGCAGTGTAGTGATGTGTGTAAGGGGTGAGAATAAGACGAGGAACGCGAAGAAACATCGCGCGTGGCCCTTTTGTGAGGGTACTGCTCCGTCATTCACCTGGCATTGCTCGGAGAATCCACGGAAAACTACCGATCACCGGAGCTAGTCAGTAGAGTTCTCCTCCTGACAGCGACAGTTGTCGACTAACTAGTGATAAGCTTGTATCGAAACTGTCACCGTCGGAATTCGAACCTAGGACCTCCCGGTCAGAGGCACTGCAGTGACATCAGTTGATGCACTGAACCCCATCTCCCAATATATCGAAGACAATAAGCACGTTTACTGGGACGGTGATTGATGAACGTAGGTGTACGAACGTAGTTGGCTCTGTTAGAAGTTAGTGGGATGTCTCATGATTACAATATACTTTATCTAGAAAGGAATATATGTTTGTTGGCTGTTTTTGCAGACGAAACGGAGAGAAAGTTGCTGATAATATTTCTGATCAAAACGGTGATAATGCCCATCGTGAAATCGTGTAACATTTGGTGATATCAGGTGATAAAACCAAATGAGTATACATTAGCTGCAGACATTTAGACGACACTTAGAAGTTCTGAACTCTATTAAAATAATAATAATAATAATAATAATAATAATAATAATTTATTATTAAAATGCAATACAAACCTTTAATTATTTCAACTAAAATTTATTGGAATTTTACTCGCTTCGTAAGGGGAACTTGCGGAAGTATATATTAATATACTCTTATCATAATGTAAAACATGTAATTGTTAGAACGTTTTGTAGTAATGCTTTTTCTTTACCACTGATGCATCAAAGCAGTACTCTGATATTTTGTATATGTGAATTAATTAAATTTTTAACTCGATATAATTTTTTAAACCGGGAAGTATATTTAAAACAACGCAACTCTATTGAACAAATATTTAATTTTGTTTACCCCTTGAATCACGCACGCATGAACCACACACGAAACAATAAAAGCATACACCTACAACACCTTCTCAAGCCGGAGACGAACCACTCGGTACGAATTCTTCAAGGCCTCCGATCGAGAGCAGATAAGTCCAGGCCAGCGCTTGAATGTCCACAATGGGCCCTAGCAATTGGGCGTCTCGCTCGGCAATTGCCAACCACCTAATGCACCCTCGCCGAGGCAGAGCCGTGTAAACGCCCGGGTCCAGGTCGCCAAATGTTCGAGGACCCCCGATACTTTAAAAAAAAATACTAAATTTTTCAAAATATAAAATAAAATACAGTAATAAAGTTATGTATGATTAAACAATACACAAAGAATTCACTTAACGGAATGGTGTCGCGCCTTATTGGATAATATTCTTAACATGGAAAGTTACTGGTTAATACGAGCATGTCGTTCTGTGATGAGAAGTTTAATTGTTTTTAACAAATCTTGTCTTTAAATATTTTGGTTAAATTCGAGTAATTACTGACTTTGAATTGTTTAAATTCATGGTGTGCATAAAGTTTTCAACATTGAATAATATTAAATTGAAACACTAAGGAATACTTTAAAATTTTAAAAAAATACTATATAAATTGATAGGGTTACCTTTATATCTCAGTATGAAAATGGAGAGGAGAGGTGAAGGTTCCCAAATCAACGCAACAAGTTAACAAGTCATGGAGTGAAAGAAAAAGTTCGGTCAGAAACATACGATTTGATGAGATTATTTCAGAATTGATTAGTTTGAAAATGATTGTGATGTGAAAATGAGTATGATAGAAAGGTGTTCCTCTTTGCCAAATATGTATCAACAAAATTCAGATAATTCAGAATAAATACTTAAGAACCATCCCCCAAGCTATTCATTTCCAATAAACAATTGCACCACGAACGTAACCTAAAACCTATCGCACACCACATAGCCTTTCTTATCTATAATTTCTATTCTAACCTACCCGTCATTAATCAAAATAACATTAACATACGGAAATTTAATGAAAACCGAACTAGAATAAAAAACTGATATTCTATCCATTATTTTCTGAATATTTTGGCTAATCTTAATGATTTTTAGAGGTGCTCGGTATTGATTTCTCGTCAATTGTAGTTTATAATTTAATTAATTAGATTTAAGCCAACAATAAAAAAGAAGTCTCATGTAAAAAATTTTGAAAATCAATGCTTATGATTTTTGTTTAAATGTATGTTGTTGGCCCGTCGGTTTGGGCGCCCCAAGGCTGAGCTGCCGAGCCGAAAGAGGCCCGCTGGTTCCGTGCTGAACGTGCAGCGATTTGATGGTCTCTGCCCGCGCACCAACCCTCGCGCGTGGCCGACGCGTATCGATTCCGCCCGTTGCCTTTGCGGTTACGGCGCCCCACTGTAATCCAAGTTAGATGTGTCTTATTGATTCCTCGGGTAAAAACAATTTGTGCGTAAAATAATTTCCCGATCAATGGTTGCGTGTTTTGGTAGCATGACGGAACCTTGGTGATAAAGTTGGGTACTAATGTGAAGGTCAGTTTCAACTGTAAGATAAACATAATTCCTCCTTGTTGTGCCAGTAAATTACTTTTTTGCGTTCTAAAACAGGTGAAATCAGTCGCGTGGTTATCAATGCTCGTGTCCACAGCTCGCACGGAGACTGCGTGGCGTTCGCCTGTTTGAGCTTCTGTGTGTTGCAGGTGCGGATCCAAAGACAAATCTTGGGAGGGGAAATTTAATTTTTTTACAGATGTTTACCGAAATTACAGCTTTTGTAAAATGTCGCAGGCTACACTCAGCTCGTTCTGGGATGCGATTGTATTCGTTTTTATCAGTTCCAGAAAATATTTTTACTTGAAAATTTTTGTGACAAGTTCAAATTAATAGTTACAGAAAAATTTAGGGAGGCGAATTCCCCTAACAAGTAACTACTTGTTATCAGTCCTGTAAGTGTAGTGGATGATTTTTTATCACAGGGGGTGGCATTGTTCCTCTCTACTACGAATAGAATGTGAGATCCGTGCTGACCTACACGTATAGCGGGCGTTCCTCCGGAAGATATCTCCCACCATCGCGCACCGCCCCAACCAGAACAAGCTCTAAGCTTCCAACTGGTCTCCTGACACGTGTGATAGTGTAGTGCATGTAAGTGTATGTGTGTGTGTGTGTGTGTAAGGGGAAAAAGAGGGAACAAGTATGAGGATGGAAAGATCGCGTAAGGTACATGGCTCCTTTGTTAGGTTACTGCTCCGGCATTCATCTTGCATTGAATTCTGTTGCCTATGAACCTAATTCTCGACCGGAAGAGGTGGCTCCGGGCATCAATTGATGCCACTGCTGTGCCTCTGACCGGGAATTCCTGGGTTCGAGTCCTGATTCGGTCGCTGTCTGCAGGAGATTCAATGAAAAAAATACCGATCAGACCGGGAGAGGTGCCTCAAGGCATGAACAGATGTCACTACAGTATATCTGAACTGGACGTTCTAGGTTCGAGACCCGACAGTGGGAGGATTTTCGATACTAGCCAGATAGCTAGGTTGAATTCAGTCGCTGTGTGGAGGAGAATTCTGCCGGCCGCCCGCTTTGATCGGTAGTTTTCCGTGGTTTCTCCGATCAACACTTGGCGAATGCAGGAGCAGTACCCCAACAACGTGCCACAGACCACGCGCGATCTTTCCTTCCTTATTCTAGCCCTATCCTCAGGCAATTACATGCACTACACTACTACACAAGCCGGAAGACCAGTTAGGAACATAGAGCTCTCCCCGATTGCGACGCGCCCCGCTGCTGGGAGATACCTGGTTGGGGGAAAACCTGTTAGCCGACAGTTAGGTCATCATCCAGCGGGGGAAGATCACAGCCACCTCTCTCGAGAGAAAAATACACTACACTACACTTACGGTGCTAATGACCTTAGCCGTTGACGCACCCGGAATCACCGATCTAACAACTACCGCTCAGGGCAGCCGGCCACTAGAAGACGCCGCAGCTAAGTGGCTCGTGCGCAAAACCCGTCCCGGGAGCCATTGAAAGGCGTGGGTCGCGCTTCGAGTCCCGGCGGTTCCCTCCGCGCCCCGAGACAGCGCATCCCTCTCCCCCCCCTCCCCGCCCATCCCACTCCGGCCGTCGCCGCAGCGGCCGCCATTCGCTCGCCAATTCTGCTGCGCGGCGCTCTGCTCGCCGG